AGAACACTCAGCTGGCGCAGCTCAAGTTGAACCAGGTTATGCGAAGCGACATTGGATGGATGAGCGATCACGGTCAGAAATTAACTACTCACTCGTGACAACTTGTGGCTCTAATGTATGTAGCTGATGGCGAATGTGGACGGCCCGAAACCATGCCGTAGGAAACTTTTGATAATAGCAGTCCAGTCTTAAATTGGCCATCTGAAATTGGGCCTTAATCTGAACATTTAGAACATATTTGTGATGTCTGAAGACGGTTGCCAGCAGCTTAAAAATCTAAATTCAAATTATTAAACAAGTCAAATGAGTCATTAAATTATGGGTATCCATTGAAATGGTTTTTAAAAGGCTTAGTTTCCAAACAACATGCAGGAGGATTGCTACCTTGAATTAAGGGAATTAGAAAATTTAAATATGAAAAATAGGTGTGAGAAGGTTTTCACTTGAAAATATTTTGATGGGGTTTAAAAAAAGAAAAATGTGAAAATCTCATATGTTTTTGGCTAAATCTACATAAGTATTATGTATTAAGCTAATGTTACATGCACACAAAAATTGAATTTACTCAAGCGGGTGAGGGCAAACTAGTATGTTATCTAAATTTTAAAATTTGATTACAAAAAAATATTTGGGAAATAATATACACTTTTTAATGTTTTAAATAATATGTCTGCGCACTATATATGTATGTAAGCATGTATGTACGTATACTCCTTTGACGATTGAAATTCTACAGCAGGGATTCGTCTATTGTTGTCTGTTGTGAATGACATACATTTTTGCAATTAATTTCTCTTTTAAACTCTCAGTCTCATTCACAGCTTTTTGCGAGTAAACGCTCCCCGTTTTTATAAACAATTATTCTCTTCTTTCTCAATGGAAAGAAAGCAAAAATATGTACACTACTTATAAACAATAATGTGCGTATGCATGTATATACACATACCTATAGCACCTGTATACATAGGCAAATATGAAAAAGTTTAGTGTATATGTACATTAGACTGTCCCAAGAATATATGGAAAAAATTAGTTTGCAAATTTTAATATGCATATGTGAAGATTTATTATGGCCGTAGGATAACGATAACCCGTGCCGACCTTTAGTTGAAGTTTTAGTTAATAACTTAAATTAATCGTCCATGAAAACTTTGGAAATGCGTAAAATTCGAGATGTTTTCAATATTTTAGCGCATTAGGACGGCAGGAAAAAATTAATTAAACTAAAATATCCTTTGCGGGTTTTATCCTTCAATATCCTTGTATATGTATGTATTAATAGGATTTAAATTAAACTAAGATTCTTCAAAATGCATTCAAAATTAAAAATCTTGAAGGATAATATTTTTAAAAGACATTTTCGACATGTTCCAAAAGGATAACTGAAAGCAAAAGTTGAAATGAATCTTGTTTTGAATTTTTCTTTTAATTGATACCCATATTTTGTGTAAACTTTTGGAAATATATTATAATTAATGATCCTTGAGAAAAAATCCTGACAATCTGGTAAAAATCTAAAAAACGCAGATATATTAGATATTTTATCCTAATACTGTATGGAGTATAGTAATACCGCCTTATAAAAAGTAAAATGTAAAAAGTAAGTAATTGCATAAAATTTTATTTGGATAGTTCTTAAGACAAAACCAAAAAATGAGGGGATACCCCCTTAAAAACAATTTTGGTTTTTTGGGACAGTCTAATGTATATATAAATACATATGTACACGAATGTATTCCGATTTAGACGGACGTTTATAGAGCGATGTTTTTTTAACACTTTTGTTCTACGCACTATCAGCATACATACCTACATACACATATGTATGTGTTTTTATAGGCATAGAGGGAATAAACTTTTCCTCTTGCGGCAGCTTTGACTGTGCTTAATTTTACATATAGTATGTATGTATGTATTTATGTAGATGTTACCATTTTTTATTTAAAACTGAAGCACAACTGAATAGAAATACCAAAAACAAAAATGCACACTTGTACACATACATATGTACATACAAATGTATAAACATATTTGAATTTGTATGCATATTAGCGCTAACAAAACACGATATCAAAACAAAGATGGGCTGGGAAAAGAGGCAATGCATATTTACATATGTTTGCATGTACATTTACGCACTACCATTAACCTCGGCCACACACTGTCATACATGCATATGTATGTATGTATTGTGCTTTCGGAAAGTGACACATACATATGTACCTAAATGACAGCTGATATCGCTAGCACTCGCCTGACGTCTCGTTCCATTCAGAGTCAGCGTTGCCGTTTGGTCCAATCAGACCAAAATTGGTGGATTCAATTGAAGAAAATAAATTTTGGTACATACTTTGGTAGGCAGAAATCGAATTTGGTAGGTTTTGTTGTATATGAAATATTTATTGTCGTTTGTCTAGGTCAATGCAAAACCAAAACAAAACAATTATCCATACAACTTTTATTCAAAACCAAAAATTCTTTTCTTTAACAACAATATTGCTAGAAAATGATTGGCATTTTGCAACACCGCTATAATCGAAGTGCAACCCTTTTTTGAAGCTTGGTTTTTCCCATTGTGAATAGTTATGCATTCACAATGTTCTTTCCATTTATTGGAAAAAGGCAAGTGAGACTGCGAAAGGTTTTCTCAAGACGTTAAGTATATAATTATACTTGGGTGCCTTGCTGAAATTTAGAGGAACTATGGATATGTAAAATATCCACCATAATCCATTTTTATAATTTAAAAATGTATTATAATTTTACATGTTTCTCACAAAAACATCCAATCTAATTCCTGAAGAGGACAGCGATGGCTCCCAGCCAAAAGCTTCATGCGGGTAAGTGTACATACAACAGTTGCACCTAAATCTACTAGTTTGGCGGCAAAATATTTTCATTTGTTTATTTGTTAGTCATAATACAAGTGAAGATGAGCAGAAATTTAAAAGAAAATTCTGAGTTGGATTTTGTAGTTCGGCGTTATGGAACATTATACTTTGTACGGATGCAAGGCAATTGACGTTTTGGAATTCAGCCAAATTACACAAATCCAAATGTCACCATTTAGATAAAAATTTGATTTTTTTCTTGAACGAAAACGGAAATTTATATGGAGAAAAATTTAAATGCTAACAAAAAGGTTAAAGTAAAAGAAAACATTTTAAACTTTTACATTGAACTTATGAATAAAATTTGTACGAGATTCGATTTCACGAGAGAAGATCCAAATTTTTTGCAAATTATTACACCTACTAATGTTCTGTCTAAAAATTATGTTTCCGTTTTACATTTTAAGAACTTATTAGAATGTGATTCCGATATTGTAATAATGCAATGGAATTTGCTAAGGCAACAAATAAGTATGATTAAAAACGGACTGAATGAATATTCTTTTTAAGAATTATGTAATATTGTATTTAACTTATTATCTATACCTCATAGTTCTGCGGCAGTAAAATGAAAATTTTCAGACCTAGCTCTTATAAAGACAAAAAATTAGTTAGAAACATTTATAATTAATAATATAATGTTGTGCACACTATGTGTGGATGGTAGGGGCTGATCTTAAAACACTACAAATCAAATATACATACATACATATATAAATGTTAAAACTACACATGAACGAATTTAATTTTTTATTTAATTGAATGAATTTATGAATTTATTCAAAGAAAACGTGATATTTTCGCAACAGCTCTGTGCCTGAATAAAGATTTAAAACTCTATCTATGTATGTATTAAAAATCATTGCATGTGCGAGCTCTGAGATTACTAAAATGAATACGTGATGATCTCAATGAATTATTTTATTGTACGAAGTTCTTATGCAGTTTTATGTTCCTTTTTACAATAAAAAACGATAAAAACAGTTTAATGTTTCCGTTTATATAAAATTTTTTGGCAGGCTGATAACCGTTTTGGTAGTTAAAAAAAAAACATTTGGCTGGGAGGAATGGTTTTGAGTGGCAACACTGTTCAGAGTGTCTGCTAGGCGGTGGTTTTCTTATTTTGCCCGTTTTTTATTACTGATGGGAGGTTTTGCGGGCGCTTCTCAAATATTTTATAAATTTTTATTTGTTATTCATTGCGAGTATTGGCTATTTTGTTATTCGGTTACATGTAGCATTTTTCCTCATAGAATTCTATTTAACATACTTTTACCAGACTAAAAAAACTTATTTCTAAAGCCACTTTCAATTACATTCTTCTATTTTATCCCTAAAAGCCTTGGTTTTTTGGTACGACACGTCGTTTGACGGTTGTGACCGTGTTTATGATCATTGAGGCTGCTTGGTTATATTTTGATTGCCTAGCACTAACACAGACGCAGTTAGTTATACACGCGTTGGCGTTTGGAAAGTAAACACCTGCTTGCTAATCGTTTTCCGCAAGTATTTTGTATCATCTATGTATATTATGCCGCACATGCCCGCGTCAAAGTGCTATATACCTACCTACATACATATGTACATACAAAATACATATTGTATCATACATACATATATCAGCAGAATTCCTATGGGAATTCACCACTGATGCTTTCGACCGAATGAACCCTTTAGCTACGGGTAAAGGAATGTGTCGCCGTCAACACCCAATAAAGTTAACAACAAAAGTGTCATTGATGTAATAAATTGTATGTACGCCAATGGAATGGAAAATGGGTCGTGGTTGTGTTGTAGCCAGTAGAAGTGGTGACGTGATGGCGTTAAATTTAATATTGGGGCAGGGTGCGTCGCTTTCGCCTTTTCGGCGCAGGCTGTTCATAAAAATGAAGTTGGACCGGCTCGTCCACCAGCACTCATATGCAGGGTGAAATTCAGATGAAAAAATATATTTTTCGTAGCCAGTTAGCCAGAATAACTCTTTTATGGGAGATGCACACTTACAACTATACATACATATGTACAAACATATATGTATGTATAAATACTTAGCACCCGCACACAATCTAGTCGGCTGTTAACAGCATCTACTATGGAGCCATTTCTCACCTTTGTAAGTTCTTCAATTCCACAGATATTCAACTCTTGCTCTCGTTTATCCACCATTACTACCGTAGTTGTCCTTTGCCTGATATTGCTTCTACTTCCGCAGCTCCCGTTTTCCCGTTATTGGACTGGCGAATTGGCTTTTAGTGCTTCCTTTCGGCTCCAATACTGCTACTTAGTGTACCTCGAATGCTTCTTCTTCCTCTTGCTTTTCTTCTGGACATACATGCACTCATGGATACACATACACACACACAAACACACAAGCGCACTTTCACATAGAATAGATATGAGTGCTGGAAA